CTAATTGGCCAAAAAATTATTTGGATTTCAAGGATGTAACAATATCAATATAAAAGATACTATAGATGATTAGATTTAAATTTTAAAATTTTTGGATTAATGTGACTCGTATTTGAATAATATTGAACTTGAAGCTTTGCAAATTGCAACGAAAATTTGGACCCCATCGGAAATCCTAGTCGTCAAAAAATTCAAAAAAAAAAAATCTTAATCCAATGTTCCCCCAAATTAAGCTCAAATTTTTTATAAATTTTTGAAAATTTTGACCTAATTGTCATGGTGTCTTTCAAAGGAACATATTTTTTACAATTAATGCATTAGAATTTAGTGAATCACAATTGTAACTTATGTAAATTTATTAAAATATTATATAAAATTCACACATAATATTTTATTATAATTAAATAATTTTATTATTAAAATATTAAAACTGTAAATGAAATTCTTCACATCTTTTTGCTATTATCAAACTCATTTTGATACGATACAAGTTAGCATTTTATGCATCATCAATTTGGGAATTTTTCTTACTCATTTTTGTTCTTTTATATATTTTTTTATTATAATGAAATGTTTAATTTGGGTTGAAATAATGAAGCAAAACATTAGTTTTAATTGGGTTAAAGGGTATAAATATCCTTAAATGATAATTTGATAATCATTTAAATTTTTAATATTTTATTATAATTAATCAAGTTTTTAATATTTTATTTCAACTCCATTAAATTTTTAATTAGACGAAATATAATCACGTAACAAAATTGAATCAATAAATTCTTAAATTACTATCAATTAAATTTTAAAAGGATTTTAGAAAGAGATGCGAAAAAGAAAAGAAAAGAAAAGAAAAACAAAAAAAATTATTTTATTTAATTTTTACATATAATAACTATATCTCGTAATAAATTTTTATTTATTTTATTGATATCATATGAAATTTTATTTTAATTGATAAAAAATTATTGGTATTAATTTTTTTATCCAAATAAAAACTTAAATGAATGCAAATATATAAAAAATGAGTTAGTTGATTGTAATAAAAAATAACAATTTAAATAATTTTTATTATAATTTAGAGATTTTTTATACTCTTTTAAACTTTTTACTTTTAGTTTTACAAACTTTATAATGTCGTTGGTTGAACTACTTCAAACTAAATACTACTTGTAAATTTAGACATTCAAATCTTTTTAAAATTATTTTTAAAAATTTTAATTCAACTAGACATTTCCATAAGCCCGGGACATTAAATTATTAATAAAAAATTATTTATTTATTTTAAAATATATTTAAAATATTAAAATATTTTATTTTTAAATTCTATTATCTTGTGCCGGCAGGTCAACCATACTAATCTTGGAAAAAACTTTTAAAAAATTGATCAAAGTCTGACCCAATTCCATTCATGAACATCTCTGCTCGTTGACATTGTCTATCTTTTCTTTTCTGAATTCTGAGTCGTTGAAGATGTATAACTCATTCACCTTAGGCCTAGTACAATCTCAGTTCACAAAACAACAAGTAATTTCGCTTTCTAAAATCTTTTATATCTACTTGTTTTATTTAACATAAACTCCCTAAAATTTTGTGTTGTGGTATATATTTATGGCATTGAAACTTTTCGATCATTATCTGAGCAAACTTAATAGAAAGAGTTTGAAGTCTAAAAGCGATTCCCTTATGAGACTTGTGTCGAACAATCTCAATCGGCACAAAGAATAGAATATCTTTTACAATCGAACATTTCATTAAAATGAATATTTTTATCAAAATATTGAAATGATTGATGCGTGTTTTTTTTTTATTTGAAATCTTTTGATGTTCGATAATCATTTTAGATCTTTATTAATTCGGAATCAATTCGAATTAAATTTTATAAAAAAAGTAAATTCTCTCAAATTTATTTTTTTTATTCATAAGACTCGAAACTTAAATTTTATTTAAAGGTATAATTAATGCATGATTTATTATTAAAAAAAAATAGAGTTGGAATTTCTCATTCTTCAAATTAAAAAAGAAAATAGCATCTCTCGTTCTAACCTTGGGAATTTATGAATTAAATCAAAACCAAATTGATCAATAATTAATTTAAAAAAGTTTTGGTTGATGACATGATGCACAACGAATGAAAAAGTACAATTGATTCTAACTAGAATGTATTTCAAATAGCATAGCATAGAGTATTGAACTTGAAGCTTTGCAAATTGCAACAAAATTTTGGACCTCATTTAGACTCCCAGTTGCCAAACAATATATTCCGCCAAAAAAAGTCACATCCAAATCCAATGTTCCCAGTTCCTCCCAAATTAACTTGCTAATTGCTACAACTTTTAGCCAGCTGTTTCATCAATATTTTCTTAACGAGATGAATTTTTTTTTTCAAATTTGATTTTTTTTATAATATGATCAATAATATTTCAAGTTTTGCTCAAATATAACTTTTTTTCTTTAAATAATTTTAAAGTGCACTCCTTACAATAAACTCTTATCGAGTCATTGTTACGTTTTATAATTGAATGTAATTCAATTATAAAGTGATATCATGATACAATAAGAATTTTTTTCGTTACCCTACCAAATAAACCTTTAATGCATAAAAAAATGAAAGGAACTCTCACCATGACACAATTGAATTTTATGATTGAATTGAATTTTTAATAGTGCAATTAGAAAATAAAATCACAACATGATGAGAGTCCACGTGATCACCTTATCAAATAAACTCTCAATGCATTAAAAATTTTAGGCCAAAAAGATAAATACTGTCATTAAATTATAATTTAATAATTATTTGAATTTTTAATATTTTATTAGAATAAATCAAGTTTTTAATTTTTTATTTCAACTCAATTAATTTTTAATTAAATGAAATTTAATTACATGGTAAAATTGAATAAATTAATTTTTGAATTACAATTAATTAAATCTTTAAAAAGATTTTAAAGAGAGAAGATGAGAAAATTTTTATTTTATTTTTTTTATTTTCATATATATTAATTACATCATGTGATAAACTTTTATTTATTTTATTGATGTCAATTAAAATTTTATTTTAATTAATAAAAAATTAACTGTTTTAATTTTTTCATCAAATTAAATGTTTAATTAGATATAAATAAATATTAAATTAATTAATTAAAATAAAAAATAAAAAATTAAATAAAATTTTAATTATAATTCAAAAACTTTTTATATCCTTTAGCTAAAATTTTACTTTCAGAATTTTTTTCATAATGATCAATCTTTAGTTGACAAAGAAAAACACATTTCCTTGTCAAATGAAAATTTTTTTTATCTTTTTCAAATCTCATTTGAAAAACCCAATATTCCACTGTATGTCCTCACAACTTGCTAAAACAAAAATTAATTAATGCATAATAGTATTACTCATAAAATAAAAGGAAAAAGGTCCCAAAAGGCAAGACTGGGGAAGCAACTGGCAAAGACGCTGAAGGCGGCGTAAAAAGCGACTCTCTTTCATTGTTTTTGTTCTTTGGCCTCTCAGTTTGGTCGCTTCTTTTTTTTTTTTTAAATGAAAAGGGCCCACATTTTAGTCCTTTTTGCTTTTTCTTTCCTTTTCTTTTGTCTTTCTTACGTCAGCTCCATCGTTAGCCACTACATCTCTTGGCCAAGAAATCCTTCCTCTTTGCTGATTCGGATACCAGCTGGCACCAGTTCCATTTATTTTCATATAAAATAAATGAAGAGAAAATATTTTTTATAAAAACAAAAATACTTAGATTATTAAGCACTTAATTAAAATTTTTTTAATTTTATAAAAGAATAAATCTGAATTCATTTTAAAATAAAAATATATGTTTATTATTGAATCATATATTTAAATATTTTAATTGATTGAGAATTATAAATATACGACATTACATATAAATCAAACAATTTTGAAAACCATAATTTATCATGTATTGAGCTCACTTTTATTTTTAAAATTATTGTAATAATTTATTGAAATATAAAAAATTAACTTAAAATATTCATATTCGAACATTAAAAACCGAATAAAAATTTTTAAGACTTTTTTTTTTAAGTAACATAAGATTAACTAAAACTTCATTTGTACAAAAGAAACTGACCAATATTGGGGTTTTTAATTTATATACAATAATTGCATATCAATTGCTTGAATAATGGTTATAGACATATAGTACATAAATGATACTATTTAATATTATATTAACAAATAATTAATTTAATCAATTAAAATATATTTTTTTTAATAAAAAAATTTTATATTCAAATCTTGTCAATAATCACTTAAATTTTTGTTCTCAAATGCTTTACATTCATAATTTAATTCATGTGATACATCTCTTTTTTATATTTGAATTTAACAAAAAATTTTGGTTATTAAAATTAAAAATATAAACATTTTATTAATAAACCATATAAGTAATCACCATGTGGTACATTTCTTGTGTATACTCATATGGTCATATCAGTAAAAAAAAGATATGAGAAATAAAAATCTATAAGAATAAAACAATGTCGACAATTTATTAAGTACAACTGTTTCATTTAATACACTGGTAAGGTAGAATATTTAAATGATTTCACTTGTGGAAATTTTACTAGTTGTATTTATTATTTCATGAATCTCATGAAAAACACACAAAATGTGTTATTTAAATTTCCAATTTTCTTTTTAATTTCAAGATTCCATAAAAATGATTCTCTATTTTTTCAATCAAACATTTTACCATTTGCAAAAAGAAAAAGAAATTATCACCAGCCAAATTTTCTATTTATAAAAATAGGATGACATGGCTTAGATTTTATAACCTGCTAAGAAATCAAACTGAGTTTCCCAAATAGACAGCTTATCTTTAAAAAATTAAAAATAGAAAAGCAAAAAAAAAAAAAGGTATTAAAAAAGGTTAAAAAATTATTCTCTGATCCTTCACGTCTTTATGCTTTATCTTAGAGACTTTTTTAATCAAAATATTTTTTCTTTAGACATATTTTCATTGTTTTTTTAAGTGGTTTTCTGGTATTTCAGAGAAAAAGACTAAAAACACTATAAAAAGTTGCTTCCTTTCTTCTCCAAAAGAGACTCTTTTTCCTCATTCTGAAAGCCTCCGCCTTTGGTTTTTGGTTCAAGAGTCATGGTTCTTGCTCTTCATAGTTGCAAAAACACCAAAATTTTTATGTAAAAATGAACGGTGGAGATCCAGCTTTCAAGCTCTTTGGAAGGAAGATTCCTGTGCCTGAACCTCAGATTCATGCTGGAGTAAGCTTACTTATATCCAAAGTTCATTTCTTTTTACATTGGTTTTATGTTTTTGTCTTTTTGTGCTTATTCTTTTTATGTTTTATTCTGAAGTTAGCTACCCATTTTAGCTGTTGTTGGTAGCTTAATATTTGTGGGTTTTTGGCGTCCTTTTGGTTTCGTTATGATTTGTTGGAAAAGTTCGATTTTTTCTAGCTTTGTTTTGGTCCCAAAATCTAAGTTTTTAGGACTTGAAGACATGTTTTTCATATTTACTCTTTTTTTATTGAAATCTTTAATTTGACTTGTATTTTGAATGAATTTTGTTTGCTTTTGTATGGTATAAATGAGAAATGGTTTCATTTTTTTCTCTGTGTAGTTTCCTTTCTTTCCATTTTGCTGTCTGATGTTTATGTGTTTTTAATATATGGTTTTAAATGAACTAAACTTAGCTTAAATTTTGCAAAAATGGGGGCCAAGTGTTGCTTTGGATGCTCCGGGAAGTAAGCACATACAAAATATATTTAGCCTTTTTTTAATTCCTTTTAATGACTTTCTCTTACTTTTTTTTTTTTTTTCATTTTTCTTTTAGAAAAATAATTGAAACCTGTTGGTTGATTTTGGCAGTAGAGATTATATATTTATCAGGAATTTTCTAAAACTTGTTTCTGTATAGAATTTGATTTTCTTTTCTCTGTTGGGATTTTTCTAACACAAATTTCTATATAGAACTCTTTATTTGTCAGGGAGGTTTTTCCACTGTAACAAAATTAAGCGACTATTGATTCTTGTTGATGAATTTTGTTTGAATTTATTTTGATAACAATATCCTGAGGGTTGGTGCACCATGTTTTTAATTATCTTGGATGTTGTTAAAGTTTTCATCGACAGACATGAAGAGCCAACAATCATGTGTAATTTGTTTTTTAAACTAGATTGGATCATGTAATTTTGATTTCCTTTTAGACTATCTTTTCCTGAATTTTGAATCAAAAAACAGCTTTATAAAGGTGTATATTTTATAGATTTTTTTATTGTCTTTGGGTGATGGGTAAAAGCAGTTAGTCCAACTTGATTTATTGGAAGCTGTTTATTGTCGGTACCTTTGCATAAAGTCATGTAATTATGACAGTCATACTTTATAACTTGTTGCTAATCAAATTCTAAACCTTGGAAGAGGTCAGCTTGAACATAATTCCTCTTAATTTGGTCAAGAACAACTTCTTATATATTACTTTAACTACAGTTTGACTGATGGGTTGATGACTGCTTATTGTTGTTTTATAACTGATATTTTGTCACAATCATGTTAAAGGATATGCTTTGTTCTTTTTTGTTAATATGAATATAGTCGGAGAAGCCGAGAGTATAAGTTGGTTCTTTTACTTTTCTTTAAAGCCTTCTTATTTGTGAATCACATAATGCAGAACACTATCTCTGATTTTCCTTTCAACAAGAAATGTAAAAGACGAGAAATGGTAGTGAGTGTTCCATATTTTGATTTACTTTTTCTCGCTTGGCCAATTTACTTATGACTTCTTGTTATAACTGAGACATCTATTTTGATTTTGAACTTCAGGAAACGAGTAGTGAGGTAACAAACACCGAAACTGAAATTACTCACACAAACACATCTGGTGAGCCAGATAAGTCAATTGCAGTAGAAAACGATAAGGAAGAATACCAAAGTTCTATGAAACCGAATGAGATACAAAAAAGCTCTAAGCCCAAAGATGAACAGCCAGAAACAAATAGTACAGACCAAGAGAAAGTTTTTAAGAAGCCAGACAAGGTCCTTCCCTGTCCACGATGCAACAGCTTAGACACAAAATTCTGTTACTTCAATAACTACAATGTCAACCAACCTCGACACTTCTGCAAGAATTGCCAGAGATACTGGACAGCTGGTGGAACAATGAGAAACGTTCCTATTGGTGCTGGGCGGAGGAAGAATAAGCACTTGGCCTCTCAGTACCGTCAGATAATAGTTTCTTCTAACGGAGTGCCAATGACTCAGATAGAAACCCCTGACTCAGCAAATCAACAACTTCTATCTCCTGGTGAATCTACAACTGCCTTTGGGCCTTCCATAGGAAATGGAACAGTTCTAAAATTTGGTGCAGAAGCACCTCTTTGTGAATCCATGGTGACTGTTCTTAGCCTTGGAGACCAGAAGAGATGTGTTGAAACGGGTACAATCAGTTGTGGAGAAATACGAGAGGAACCCTCCTGTGGATCTTCTGTGACTCCTTGCAGCATACGGGGGAATGAATTACCTGGAAATGTGATGCAAAAAGTGCGAAAAGGTTTGGCAGGACCTAATGAGCAGGATACAGCGCATCCTCCACAGTGCTATCCTGTTCCACCCTGGATTTTTCCTTGGAATCCAGGTCTGAATAATGTAGCTCCCACGGCAGCTGGTCAGTGTTCTTCTGAGCGTATTGGTGCACCAAATAGCAGTACTTCCAATGCAGTTCAATGGTGCCCTACACCAATGGTAGCTGTTCCTGGATTTTGCCCGCCAAACATTCCTTTACAAATTGTGCCTGCTTATTGGAGTTGTATGCCTCTATGGGCTGCTGGTAGAGGAAATGTGTCATTCAATGGTGCCAATGGTTCCCTATCTCCATCATCCTCTACTAGCAACAGCATCTGCTCAGGCAATGGCTCACCAACACTAGGCAAACATTCCAGAGAACCAAATTTTGTTGAAGAGGAGCAATCAGAAAAGTGCATCCTGGTTCCAAAGACACTAAGAATTGATGATCCAAATGAAGCTTCAAAGAGTCCTATATGGGCTACATTAGGTATTAAACCTGACCGTAAGGATCTTTTACAAGGAGGTAAAATATTCAATGCCTTTGAATCTAAAGCAGGAGGCAAAGACCATCTACCGGATGGCAGTCATATTTTGGAAGCAAACCCTGCAGCGTTTTCTTGTTCTCACACAGTCCAAGAGAGCACATAGGAACCCTTTATAATATTTGCCTGGAAATCTTGCTTTATGATGTGCTCTGTGCATATTGAAGGCACAAATTTTAGCAATTCTTGTTATGCGCCTGGGAGATCTGTGTTTTTCTCTGGTCTGAATGCTAAAGCTCTAAGCTCATAGGATGTAAAGCTGTGCCGGTTATTGACAAGGTAGGAAATGTATCCATTCGTCTTTAAGAGTTCTGTAAATAGTATGTAGAAGACAGTGAGTTGATTGAGTGGTGTTCATCATCTGCGGCCTATTCTAAAATTTCATTTTCATACACTCACATCTCTCTTTCAATGTAATTGGCAAACAAGAAACAAAAAGATGAGCGAATTGTCTTTTGATTCTTATCTATTCGAACTGTGTTTTCTTCAGAAAATATGGTGTACACTATCTCCAGTTTTGAAGATGGAGAAAAGTTTCATAGCAAATAGAGTTTCATTGTTAATTTTATGCTCCATTTCCTGAAAATGTCAACCGCTGCAAGATCAGTTATTTAGCATTGCTGAAACTGCATTGAGTAACATGCAAGTGGGATATTCATATTCAATCTATTAAACTCCTTATGATGCTTCAACTACTGTTAGATGGAATATGAATAATCTAAAGATAGGTTTCTACATCTGCTACAGGCTGAATTAGTTAGATACCTTCACTCCAGAAGTCCAGAAACTATATTTCTACTTCTGTCAATGAGGAACACTCGGTGAGTTAAATTCTGAATGCAACTCATCAACGTAAAGAAGTGATTCCTTGAAATTGTCCAGAGAAGAGACCATATAGCTACCAGTTTATTTCTATTGATACTCTTAGTATTCAATGGATTTGGTAATTAAAAAATATGACATGAAAAAAATCCAAAAAAAGATACATGGGTTAAAATTTTATACGAGTTTAACAATTTTTGTATAAAATATAATATGAGTACATAAATTATCAGGTCCATTACTTCAGTAGCTCACATTCTCTGGAAAGATAAGATATATAGTCTTAGTTACCATCAGCTATCAACAATGAATCACAAATAAAAAGTCATGGTTTATTCATTGCCTCGCCATAAAGTTGGATTATTCAGGTGTATATGATCCCTTCTGCAATCTTTATCTCTTTATCCATTTTGTACTTGACAACCCTTTTTCTCTCCCCCAAAAAAGTCTATAGAGAGTTGTAATTGTCGACCAATTTACCTGTTGTTTTTTCCTATTACATGTCAAAAAGAAGTTAACTAACATGATCAGGCTCTTCATTTTTTTTTCCTAATGCATTTAAGCAAATCAAATGCAGTTTCATCACGGAAGTCTGTATTTCTTCATATAGGGTAGACCATGAATATCTATCTACCTACTTTCAACTTTTTACTATATTTTCTTCCAATCTCCAGTCTTTTTCCATTGATAAAAGCAGTAGCTAGAAGCTTTTGTAAGTTCAACCCCAAAAAAAAATTTCATTTTTTAAGATTTAAAAACTTTTCGTTTTTTTTTTTTCAGAATGAGCGCTACAAAAAAATAAGCTTTTTGTGATTTTTTTTAATGGCATTTCACTATTAAACGCTGTGAGATTCAGTGTTTTGATAAAAATGGTGTTTGTACCATAAACATCAGCAAATTAGAATATAACGGAATTTGTAAAATCAAACAATTTTAATTATAGTCTTTTGCAGCGTTTGAACAATTAAACGCCGCTAAATAATTTTTAAATTTAATTAAATTAAAAATATAATTATTTTAAATCTCTCCTAAATTTGAAATGCAGTGTACTAATTATTTCACGATGTTTTACTAAAAAATGCCGCCAATTTTTTTTTTTAACAAACTAGCTGCGTTGTGCTATAAATGTTACAAAATCTTCCTATAGCGGAGTTTATATAATAAAATGTCACTAATTATTCAACATTTGTAACGTTTATAGAGTGAAGCGCCACTAAAAAACTCTCACATGTTAAACCGTGTAATCAGCATTATTTAGAGGCGTTGGTGTAATCCTCAAATTAAAACTGAAAATTTCCACCCTTTTCATGCCTAGAACACTTCTGTTTTTGAATTTCATTTTTGCCCAAAACTTATCTTCTCTGCCCAGCGTTGTTGTTTTGATTTTTTGTTTGATTTTCTTGTTCCAGCTTTTCCTTTCCATTTTTTCTTCTTTTCCTTTCGATTTTTCGTCTGAATTTTAAACCCAAACCCATTCGAAAGCTCAAACCAAAACACATTCGAATCCATCTTCTCCGGTGGACCACCGCCGGCCTGCCTGTTGTTCGAAGCTGAAGCGGCGACCACCTGTACCACAGCCAGCTTCTCCTGCCTACGGCTGCACGCAACAGGCTCCTTTCATTCTGCTTAAACTACTGTTCAACTTCATTCTGGTTATATTGGTATCATGGTCAGTTGTTTGTTACAAGCAATTTACTGATGTTCCTAGGTCTTCATCAATTTCTTCTTCAACCTCACCATACCCACATGCTTCCTCTTCCCTCCCTTAACCACAAATTTTCCCATAAAGCTCTCTGACCTAAAAAGCTCACTGTTCTGCAAAGTTGATGAAACATTTCACATATTCCAAAATATGCAAAGGGGAACCAGCTGAATTGATTCCGATATCAATTTTTATAATCCACCTTTAAATAAGAAAATCCTCGTACATTACCTTCTCCAAACATTGCGGTCCACCATAGTACGGATGTGAGACTTCTGTTTCGTCATGTTTCTTACAATAAGAGCACATCAGTCTAACCTGCATAATCAGTAGAAAAATCAGAGTAAAAAACCTACTCCATAATTGACTGATAGTCTTCACTCATAATTTGTGCATCAGCGGGAAGTAAATCTCTCTGAATTTCCACCTATTAAAAGCCTTCAATGTATCCTCTACATGCATCAGAAATAACTATCAATATGCATGTCTGATACAGTTTGGTACAAATAACTATCAATAGAAACCGTTTATTGTTTTTGAGAGATAATTTACCCATGGTCTTTTCCTCACATGCATACATACCTATTTTTCAATTTTGTTTTTTGGGGGGTTTAAAATTAGAAAACATGGGTCATTATTACGACTGAGAAGTAGTGGCAGCAGCTATGGTTCGGCATAGGTTGAGATGGTTTAGTTGGTCCTGTCTGAAACATTTCATATTGTCTTTTTAATCTCTATTTATTCATGGTTTGATGCTTCATGAAAAATAAAGGAGTTTTCTCGTGTCTCCAACGTGGGGTGTTTTACATATTTTTTTCAAATATAAGTGAAAGGCTAAATGACATTAAGCTTCCCTTGGTGGTAAGTGCGATACATGTAGCACCCTTAACTTGTCCAGGCTGCATCCCTTCCCACTTTTTCGTCCTAGCTGCCAATGTGGGGGGGGGGGGGGGTACAATATCGTGCCTCCGTTGGAAGTTTTCCTCATTATTGCACATTTTCAATACTAAATTGATCTTTTCTTTCAAAAAAATAATTATCAATTTAAGGCTGGTATATTGGAGAATGAGCTAGGTCACCATGAAATGGCAATTGATTATTGAGGTTAAAGTTGTTGATTTGTGGCAGTGCAATGAACTGAGAATTTGGGTTCGAATGAGAAAACATATTTTTGACAAAAATGTGGAAAATACTATAAATTGACCCTTTTTTTTTCTCTCTATTTTGGTTTTTCAATCTTAAAAAGATGGTATTCACACAGCGGAGAGTGGATATAGGAAAGAGTAAAGATAACAAATAGTTCACTTAGTTTTTTGTTTCATTTTTCATTCTAGTCTGTCGAGTAAGAGTACTTTCTTGCAGACAAACCAAATGGCGGAGTAGAGATATTGGACAACGGTTGTCTGTTGCTGATCTGTCATCAAAGTAGGGACTTTGTTTGTAGAAAAAAACAAAGCAAAAGAAACAAAACTCAAGACTTATTACCAGACAGCTTAGAAGTACAACCTTAACAGTATCCTCAGCTTCCTTTTTGTTTTCCAAGCATGACAAATGTATATTTTCTGAGAAACCTTGTCTTTCCTCAAAATTTTTCCTCCGACCAAACACCCTAACTCCTCTTTCTCAACTTTCACAATCCAAAACTAAATGTTAATCCCAACCTCGAAGCTATTCCCTGTTGAGAAAAACAACACTCACACACAGCAATCATACACAAAACAGCAAGCTCAAATAAAAAATAAGAACACACAAATATATTTGGTTCGGTTCAACTCAAAATGGTCTACTTCAAACCTAATCCACTATCAAATAAATCTTTATAATTGTGAGATTTTTAGAATGAGAAAAGTCTCCTAAAACTCTTTACTCAAAACTTAACCCAAAACTTAATTATACCCTTTTAATAGCCTACTCACTTAGTTATTCTCTTAGTGTCTAACTCTCTGGGATTACCAAACTAAAAATAAAATACCTTATTTATAAGGGTGAAACTCCTTATACTTTTACTAAACTCTCGATGTGGGATACTGAACAAATTAAAAAACGCACTAACTTTCGATGTGAGATTATGAGATTCAAGGCAAATCCCAACAAATCTTTCATTGACTTGAATCTCCAAACACTTCAACAGTATCTGCAAAGCTAACATGCTTACCTTTCTTCTTTTCTTTCATCATAGGGATCCCAGCAATTGAGCCTTCATCAAGCATGTACAAGTGATTTTTGATACTATTTCCTTGTAGAATCACACTACCATTCTTGTATACTTTCAACTAATCATTACTACCATAATATGTGTATCCCCGAGAAGTTAACTCACCCAAAGCAATCAAATTGTAGTGACAACTTGGAACATAACTTACATGACGAAGCATCCTAACAACAATATTGTGAGATCTGAGGTGAACACTTCCAATGCCTTGAATATGCATTTTTTCTTTGTTAGCAACCACAATATCCCCATACTTCTCATTCTCATCCAACTCCATAATGCAACTCCTATAATTGCAAACATGAACTGTAGCGGCTGAATCTAAAACTCAACCTTTATCACCTTTCAAAGTCTGAGTCTCATCCACATAAGTTGTCAAAATAACATCATCATCATCAGACACGATAGCAGCAGTATCATTTTTTTCTTCATCTGATTTTTTTTCATCATTCGCCCTTTTGAAAGTAGTCATATCCTTTCTCAACTTCCTGCAGCGTACTTGAATATGTCTTTTTTCACCACAATAATAACATTCTATATCATTGTAATCTCTGTCTCTTGACTTGGATCTCCCTCTTGATCCATCAATCTTCTTTTGAGTCCTTAATCGATCAAAACTTTCTATAGCTAGTGTACTTCTCCTAGGTGATGAGTTTTGAGCTTCCATAAACTTTTCATTCTCACGCAACAGGACAATCACATCATCTAACTTCAAAGTAGACCTACCTACCAACACAGTTTGAACTAAAGGCTTATAAGACTTGGGCAAAGATGACAGCAAAATTAAAGCCTTTTCTTCATCTTTTAACTCATCAACAGAA